CCCCAGTCCCCTGGCCTCAGGCTCCTTGCCCTGGAAATAGCACCCTCCATTTTCAGAGGGTCATGCTGGCAGATGAGTATGGGCTTGGAAGGGAGCCCAGCCTGGACATCCCTCACCCAAGCAGGTGACCCATCCTGGCAGCTGAGTAACACTACAGCACAACCAGCACCCCCTCACAGCCTCAGGCCCTGGAACTGAACCCCCCAACCTCATTAAGAGAAGTAGAATAGTCCACTCATTTTTAAATTATCTCTGCACCCCTTTGGGTTTTGCTCTGTTGTTACCGCTGAGTGTACAGATGACTACAACTGGATTGCAGGTGCAATGAAGATTAAGGATATAATGTGAGATTCCTTACAGTTGTGGGAAGGGTGTAGGTAGGAGCTGGATCATTGAACTAAGTGTCAGGCCTGTGGTCGACGTCATTAAACTGATTTAACTTATTATCTGTGCCTCAGTTTCCCCAACCTGTAACTTGGAGATGATGCTGACCAACCACACAGAAGGGACTGGGAGATTTAAATCAGCCCTTGGCAAAGGACATGCCCAGGAAACAGAAAAGCAAGACTGATCCTAATAACAGCTGGGGTTGCTTTTGTTCTGTATGGATAAAATACAGCTCTAGACAAGAAGCTGCAGTTGGGTAACCACACACCATCACCCCGATATGATCTCTGTGGCACAAACATGCCAGATGCTACAATTCACCACTAGGGAAGTCCTGAACTTACATCCATCCTGCATGGCGCACTGGAGCATCAAGGATGTTCAGGTGATCAGACAGAGGAGTGGCAGGAAAGGGGTTAATCCAGTCCAGCTGCCCTGACTGAAGCACACAGGCAATGTTATTTCCAATCCTTCTAGCTTCCAGTTTAGCTTTCCATCAGCAAACACTACTTGGCTCTATCCTGGGGAGGGCAATTATTTTGGGCAGAGGGCCGCTTACTGAGTTTCGGCAAGCCATTGAGGGCCTCATGACAGGCAGCCCAGGGCAGATTAATATTAATTTTCTAAATTTTTAGGGGCCCCGCAGGCCGGATAGAATGGCCTGGTGGGCCGCATCTGGCCCCCGGGCCTCATTTTGCCCACCCCTGCTCTATCCCCTTTCACTCCCCATAAGCAGGCATTGGAGGGCAGCAGGAAAAGCAAGTGGGTCCACCTGAGGAAGCAGAAGGAGCAGGAGCTCCCATCCCCTCGCTCTCTGGGCTCCTGTGAAGTGGACTAATCACTTGTTTTGCCAGCCATGCTGTGGCACATCCAGCTTCTCACCACATGCAACTCTGCATGGCAGTGCCTTGTCATCACCAGTGACCTGCACTACTTAATAACCACCTCCTTCATTTCAGCCAGCCCCTCCATTTCCCTCCTTTCCTACACCTCACCTGCTGCCATCTCTGCCTCTCCTCTCATGCAACTGGACCTCCTTCTCCACCTTATCCTGGTGCCCTGTTCTGCTCCATCTCAGGCCTCTCTCCCCACACCTCCCAATGAAAGACCTTATGGAAAGAGGTTCTTTACTTGGTGGGATATGAGCTAGCACCACAGACTGAACAGACCTAAGCGGCAAATAGGAATGAGGTTGTTCTAAAGAGATTCTGGAAACAGAAGGGCAAAAGGAAATCTGTGTCCATTGCAAGCCTAGGACAAGTTGGAGATGAAGGACATTTGGGTTTGATTACAGAACAAAGGAACCTGTTGCAGAGGAAATGTTGGAGGTCTAGGAGAGAAAATAGGGAACAGCTGGTCACTGGGAGTGGCGCTGCCTTTTCCCAGAAATCAAGACTTGTTTGATAAATCTATTATTGGGCCAACTAGATAGTTGAGAGAGATGTTAGACAAACTTTCCAACACATAACACACTTCCTCAGGGCTGGGAAAGAAGCAGACTTCGTTACAGCTTGCATAAACTTAGGAAGTAGATGTCACTGGGTCCTTATTGCTTCATCTAGTGTGATCTACCCAGACAGCTGCATCCTGCCTGCCGCAATCCTACCATGGGAATCCTCTCCCCCTGCTCCCCTTAGTGTTCTTTCAAACCTGGTGTACCACTCCCCTTGATAGTCTAGCCTTGGCTTTCCCATCTCCCTTGTCTGTCATGTTACTGAGACAAATAGAAATTCTATTCTCTGCAGCAGGGGAAATTAAAGTTGGAGATTAGGAGGAGCTTTCTGACTATGAGGGTGGTCAACCATTGGAAAATACTACCTAGGAAAGTGGTGGAATCTCCATCTTTGGAAACTTTCAAAAGCAGGTTAGACAGAGACTGGGCTGGGATGCTTTAGTCAGGGATGATCCTGCTTTGAGCAGGGGCTGGACTAGACAGATGACCTTGTGAGGTCCCTGCCTGCCCTACTTTTCTGTAGTCCTAATTCTACAGCAGAGTGTGCCCATGAAGCTCCACATATTTTAGCATGGATTTCATGGCACTACAGAAGTTGGTTTCTAAGGGTTAGTCTCCACTATGTCCCCAGTGCTTTACTCACTTTCCAATAATCCCTGCTCACATGCACCAACCCAGACATCTGTGAAGCCATACTGGGGCAACACATAGTGGGTGCTCTCAAGACCTCTCTCTCCAGCAGGCTTGACAGAAGCCAAAAGGGACATCCCAGGAGTTGCTTCATTCATGTGTTTCCAGGTTTGGCACATGATGATGAGGCTGAGTAAGGAGGGCACATTTTGAGAGCATCCTTCCCCAAGGCCACTGGTGATGCAGTGTAGATGTATGCCAAGATGGAGTTCAATCAGTCAGTCAGTCCCGAGGCTGCACTGACCGTTGGGGCACCTTTGATATCGCAATTACTTTCTTCCATTCTTCCCAGTCATTTCCAAACCTTGTACTCTCAGTCAATTTTAATCCCATCCAGTCTTTGATATTGGTGGTCAGGTCAGGTCAGGGTTTACTCAGAACAGGTCAGGATTTACCATGCCACTGGTACCATGTAGCCCACTGCAACCTGTCTCATGGTCAGGTTGCTGGAGACTAAACTGGCACCCCCACCTGGTCTGCCAGGTGAGAAAGGTGTATGGAGACCCAGCAGGGCTAAAAACCTGTCAAAGGGTGGATAAGCTCACAAGAGTTGATGGCCATCCACACCTGGGATGAGCACCGCCAGATTATTTCTACCATAAGAATCACCAATGATGCAAAGACAAGATGGAGTTAAACCATCATAATAGCAGTGTCAGTGGAGAATCAAACCCTCAAATCTTTTTTTTGATGATTTCATCCTTCTTTCACTTCAATAAGCTCCAATTTCTTGTCCTCTATTGGAGGATATTGAATTGTATACAGCTGTTCCAGAGCAAGATCTTTCTTGTACACCAACAGTTCCCAAATGGCTCTGGGAAGAGGGGTCTTAATCAAATAGCTCATGCAAGAAGCAGCAGTGGATCAAACTAACCACTGTTTGCATAGGTCCTACATAGACAGCAATGATTTCTTTGAAAGAGGGGAAAGCAGCAGCAGCAATGGGTCATTATTATTTCCCTTTAAGGGCTGATCAGAATTCACGCTTTACCTGTTCGATCATAACAGTACTACTACTTAACGTGTCCTTTCAGTCTACACACACCCAAACTTGTGCTGCTTAATTGAGTCCCTCGATGCATCTATTATGCACGAGAGAAGTTTTGTGCACTAAAGCCTACTGCTTTATTTATTTATTACGATACTATATTATTTATTATGATTATATATATAAAACCAATAAGCACTATCCTCTGGGCTTTTCAACAGTATTTTATACATTTCATATTAATTCCAAGTGCCGCATTAGGGTATGGTAGAGGATGGTTAGTTGGTAGAGGTGCCCCCACCTGCTTCCCACTGTGAGTCTCATTGCCCATGGTGCCCCACACCTGCTTCCCTGCCCATGTTGTCCACTCCCACCATCAACGCTGTCTCCCCAATGTTCCACAGCTCCCCCCTCCACCACCTTCAGTGCTTCCCTGCCCATGATGCCCATTTTTACCCACATGGTTGCTATTCCTGATTGACACCAGCATGCAGGATGGCAGGAAAGTCTCCTTGTTCCTGAGCCCAGTCACCCCCACTCCCTGTGCCCCCGCTTCCCCATGCAGTGTGTCCCCCCCCAGTTTGGGCAGGGGAATGGGGGATGGGGTGATGGGAAGCTCTAGGGGCTCCATTCTTTGCCCCATGGCCATCCTCTACCAACCAACCCAACAGGAAACCCTTGCCCAATCCAGAAACCTCTTAGGTTACTCCCACTCCAATGGGTAATCTGCTGACAAAATAGTACACTCAGCCCTTGGAGACTAGGGATTGTCACTGTTCCTCAGAATATGGTTATTGCCTTGATGCATCCTACTCAGTGCAAAAACACAAACACAACCTCCATTTCTCCAGCTTCCAAACCCACCCCAAACACCAGATGTCTAGCTGTATCAGTGGGGCCAAAACCCATCCAGGGCAGTCCTACAGCAGCCACAGACTCCGAACTATGGCTCTCACCACTTCAGGGGCCTACAAGTTCTTCAACAGAGACTACCCAGTGGAAACTAGTCCCTCCTCTACATGGTACACTGCTTTGAATGAAGGGAACACCTTCATTTGCTACTCCTCAGCCTTCACAAAGTTGGTTCATTTCACTCCCCTCCTCTACACTGCTGCTACAGCACTTTTTCTGCTGGCATTTTCATGGCATTAATCACAGGCATGACAGCCAGGCTCCAGACAAGGGAGATTAGAAATAGATATTCTACCCCATGTGCTGCATACATCATCATTTCTGACAACTTGTCCAAGGACCACAGAGGATTTGCCCAGTGTCTCAAAAGACTTCAGTCTCCCTGATGTACTATGTTATGCTTTTAACTAAGAGACACATCTTTCTGGCCAGGCCTCCAAAATGCCCATTTACTCAGCAGCAGAATAAGACCAAACAGACTAACTTTCGGCCTGCACTTCCTCTTGCCAATTCTCTGCTGCAGAAACAGATCCCATAATTAGAACAATTAATATTCTCCAAGGTACTCACACAATCACATAGGGCCATGGTGCTTGGCCCCGCTGGTTAGGAGGTAGGTTGGTGGCTCCATGTAGAGTGACAGAGATGGAGTCTTTTCCGGGGTGCGCCAAGTGCCAGTTGTTAGTTTCTGAAGTGCGCACAGATTCATCGCCTTCAGGAGGAGACTCTGATACCTGGTAGGTGCAAGTAGGAGGAACTTCAATGTGGGATTTGCATTTGTTTTTCTCCCACCCTCATTCACCTTCCACCTCCCACTGTCCATATCTGCAGCTCTATCCTAAAGACACAGACACTTCATTAGGCCTGCTGGGCTCATGTATTTCATCCCCTTTTGACTACATCTCTCTCATGCTGCGAGAAATGAGTTCATACCAGCTCAGGTCCCAAGCAAGAATTGATTCAGGGATGTCTGTTCTCAACTAACTCCCATGGACATTGCCTGGGGACAGAGGGAGAACTCATTCCTGAACAAGCTGAGCTGTGGACACTTGGCCTCTCCCCCAGTGTGCTCTTAACATGACTCACAGCAGGTCCAGAGTAAAGGATTGCTCATCAGGGAAAGGAATCTGAGTTTCCATAGCCTAGCCAGTGCTTTGTTTTTCTGCTGAGATGGCTAACAAAAGAAATAATTTGGGGAGTATGGGAGGGTGGATTTAGAGAAAAAGGAATGAGGAGGTAGTATGAGAAAACAGTTGAGGCTAGGAGTACAGGAAAATGAGCGTGGATGAAGAGAGGGAAAATTTGGGGGGCAGGTGTACAAAGGGAACAGAGAGAATAAATGTGATGGAGGCCAGCGCCTGGGTGGGCAAGAACAGGATGGCAGCTCCCTCACCTAGAGGCAGGTAAGTAGAGTCCCCTTGGAGCAGCTGGAGAAGGCCTACATTTCTGCCATGTGCATAAAAAAGATCGAAGAAAATTCACTTTCTGACTTTTAGGGCAAGCCCTTTACCCTCACGCCATCTCCCTCCCTCCATTCAAGGGACCATTATGGACACCCTGCAATAGCTTGAGCTTCAGTTGGAATTCCTGGACCGTGTGAGGGATATACTCCACCTTGGGAATTCCCTGCATGGCTGGCTCGGGGTGGAGGGAAGTCTAAATGCCTCCTCCTGTCCACCGCTTCTTCAGTGGAAGGAGCCGGTCAGGGGTGAGAAGCCAGCAGCCAGCAGGGATAGTGATGGAGAACAGGATACAGTCTGCTGGAGAAGCAGAGTGCTCTCCTCTTCTGGTGTGGTAGGCTGAAAATGAACGGTCTAAAAATAATCCAAGCACACACCTAGCCCCCGTGCCTCAGTACAAGAAGCTTGGCTACAAACTGGGTGAATTGAAGGGATAGAGCCCCCAGAACATCCCTGGACAACTAGCCTGTCTTGAGATGCCCTCAACCCAGACAATAGCACTGACGACACCTCTAGATCTAGATCAGAACTGTTCCACCCCCAACAGTGATGTCATGATAACATCACCATGGGTAGAACAGGAACAAGGCTGCAATTGGACACTGAGAGGTCCAAGCTGTGTGACATCATTTCAAACCCAGCTACAGCTCAGCTTCTGGAGATGGACAGAAAGGCAATCTCTGCACAGTCCTGGTCCTGTAAGCTGCTCTAACACTGGTTCAGAGCCATGAAGTAGACACCTGGGAGCCTGAGCCATTTTTACTGAATTGATTAGGCCCTCTGGAGTCTGGTCTACAACACAGTTAGGTGCAGAGAGAGGACCACAATGTCTACAAGGATGTAACAATACCTCAGAAGCAGTAAGTTATTCAGATAGCCATCATCTTCACTCGGGTGAACAAAAGACACCATGTTTTCAGGCTTTTCTCTCTCTACAAAAGGTGCAGAATGCTGTGCAATAAAAACACCCTGTGCACATACCTATGCACTTTATGTTTGAACTTTTCTTAATTGTGCAGTCAAAATTTAGCAACGTAAAACTCTCCCAAGACAGTAGATTATGAAAGACTGCTTCACAAATAGGTCCAGGGCGGTGATGCTCCCCCTCTATGCGGCACTGGTCAGGCCGCAGCTGGAGTACTATGTCCAGTTCTGGATGCCACAATTCAAGTAGGATACAGACAACCTGGAGAGGGTCCAAAGAACAGTCACTCATCTGACTGAAGGCCTGCAGGGAAGGCCCTACGAGGAAAGGCTAAGGGACCATAACCTCGTCACCCTCTCCAAGAGAAGGCTGAGAGGGGACCCTGTGGCGGCGTGCAAATTCATAAGGAGAGAGCAACACGAAGTAGGCAATGATCTGTTTGCCAGGGCACCCCCTGGAACAACAAGGAACAATGGCCATAAGCTACTGGAGAGAAGGTTTAGACTGGACATTAGAAAAAATTTCTTCATGGTCAGGGTTGCCAGGATCTGCAATGGGCTTCCAAGGGAGGTGGTGCTCGCTCCATCCTTGGGGGTCTTCAAGAGGAGACTGGACAGGCGCCTGGCTGGGTTCACATAACCCCAGGTTTGGTGACCCTTTCCTTGCCTGCCAGGGGCAGGGGGGGGGGCCTACAGGCCCCCAGGGGTCGGACTAGATGGCCCACTGAGGTCCCTTCCGACCCTGGAATCTATGAATGTATGAAACAGGCTGGTGAAGCCATGGAAACCAGGCCCCAAAGTAGATGAAGACTCCTAATTGATCCAACCCTGTTCTACATCTGGGTCCATGAGGACTTGACAACCCTCTTCATCTCAGCTTCTCCCTCCTCCCATCATTATTTCCTATGATACACAAACAAGATGCTCTCCTCAGGATCTTAAACCCTCCGATAAGCTTCATTTCTCCCTCTTCTATCTCTCCCTGCCTGCCATACCCCCATGTCAAACCCTAAATCTTGAAATTTATGAGACTCTGCAGGAACTGGGATTCCAGCCTAATCATATGAAAAGGGAAGAGTGAGATTTTTCTCTCTGACTTATCACAGCTAGTGGGAACTGAGGAGTGGGAAAGCAAACTAAAAGCTGGTGGCCTTTAGACACAGGGGTCTGGCTGCATTTCTCCAACTTAGCTACATGTACTCAGCTGGGATCTGAAAGCTTGTCTGCAAAACCTAGTAGATGCTGCATCCACTCCATGATTTATCATTCCAACCTATGCTGTGCAACCACCAAGATGGAGCACTAGTGTTTCAGCTGGTTCATGAAAAGGGTGAGATAAAAATTGTAGGGCATGGAGCTGATTAACATTCAGTGAGACATCTTTAATATCAAGGCATCAACACTGGGTCACATCACAAGTGACAGAAGTGTTACTTTTCAACTTTGCCCTCAGCCAGAGTGCTATGTGGCTTTAATCAAAATTCACTGCCACTGTCTGTGTGTTAAGCAAGAGATGGTCAGGACTGGAGACTTGGATCACTCTGGCTGGTTCTGTTCATGCTAGTGGCTACCAGTTTCTCCCAGGGAGCACAACAGGGAAGGGTTCATGACTACAGACTGAAAGTCCAATAGCCTCCAACGCACAGATCAGTTCAGAATCTTCCGCTTCTCTGCATCCAGCTTTTTACACAGAGCAGATGAAGAGAGAGAGATGTCTATGGAGACAGACAAATCAAATTAATGGTATTTATTCCATGAAAGAAGAATTTCCCATGCAGTAATCTGTTGGTCTGCATATAGTCTGATCATGTGGGACTAATCCTAAACCAATAAGAACTGAATCAGGCCTGGATGGCAGGTCTGCCAAGAAAACATGCCAGGAAGTCTTAAGTCTTCCTCCTGAAGCTGGTTCTGATTTACTGCCCCTGATGGCACTAGGGGATCCTGTCCAACTGAAGGGCAATGTCTTAAACAAGGCTTTGAAATAGAGGTCAGTTTTCTTGATCATGAAGGAGTTTTGACTAGGAAAGGAGTTTTTTTCCTGGCCAAACTGGATACCACTCCTCTTAAAGTCACATCTGGACAGGATGGCCAGAACTTCCCAACACGGGCAGCTAGAAATAGATGCAAGTAGTTAACTTGCTGTCTTTGGAAACATTAGTCTACGTTCTAATGCACTTCCCAAGATAACCTACTGTTCTCAGGCACAGTAAGTAGCAAGCATGTTCGCCTTCAAACCAAAGGCAAGTTCAGGGAAAAAGAATCAAACAAACAGAGACACCCAACAGTCCCATCCCAGACATTTCTGAAATATGACTTCCTGTGATATTAGGAGTTAAAAAAGGGAAAATATAGTCTTGCCTTGTGCAAAAGGAGGTCAAGGATGGACTTCAGCATCTTTCCTGGAAGAGATCTCAGGAGCTTTTGATGAAGAAAGCCTCTCCTCCTGCCCCATCCTACTAGTTGTTTGCATTGCACTGGAGCATGGTGGATCAAGACTTTATAGCCAACATTACCAGGAAACCGCTACAAAATTGGTATCTCACAAGACTATTCCTTTTGTAGATTAAACCTCTCTGGCTCTACATCCAACTTGGTAGTGCCCTTCACACAAGGGTAGATGGCAGCCCAGGTGCAATTCAGGCATGTACATGAAAAAAGCATTTAGCTGTCTTTGATTTTAAGGAGGGATGCTTTTCCCAGGCCCCAAGGGAGCCTGCATTCAATCACAACCAGATGAGGTGCTAATGAAAGCGCCTTCTGCCTTCATTTGCAAGTCAAGAAGGCCTGGGGATTTGTGTCTATCTTCACTCCTCATCCTGCCTTCCCATGGCTGCCCCTGCCCCAGGAAACAGGACAGCCAGAAGGATTTCCCCAATATAATTCAGAGTTGCTAGTCCAGCCAAAACCAAGATAGAAGTACTTAGCAGATGACAGGGTAAGGCAGAGGCCTCAGTGTTCTCTCTAAAGGTAACTGGCAGGGCTTCCTAAACAGCACTGAAAATTTCCATGTGCCTTAGTGAATTCTGACAAGCATCAGTACAAACCACCCTCATCCCTGCTTGCTCTAGTTGTCCAGTCAATCTGCATTTCTCATTCCTCTAGTCTCCATGCTATAATAAATTAAATCTGCTCTGATGTCTGGCCCATTGCTGGACGACAGCAGCATTTCCTGTTTATGCTCATAGAGATCACTGACACAGCACAGCTTGGCAAGGCAACTACACCTCAGAAGATCTCCAGGGGAAGACAGGAACTGCTGCATGGAGCGGCAGACTTGAAGGAGGAGCCATCCCTGGCATGGCTCGGACAGCCCTATAGCAACAGAGCACAATGAGCAGCTTTGTCCA